TACGTCCTGCCAATTATACGAAATGCGTTGCACTGATCTTTAACAGAACTGTTTTTAAAATAAAAGAAAAATTTCTAATTACTCAAGTTAAATCATACAAATGAAGATGCTTCTTTGTGTTTTCAATGTATAAATAGACGTCATTCTTAATGGAATATATAGTATTTGTGTTAACAAATCGAGATCACCGAGTTTTACTTTCGTCGTAATAATTAATGCTTCTATTTTTACTGTCCCTGAGCAAAGAAAATGCATAATTACTTACTGTGTCATTGACTATGTAAACTCTTCAACACATCACTCATTTTCATGAAGAATATATCGAAGGCATGCCACTATTTATAGGCCTGAAAATTTCCTTTTTTTAGTTCAGCAGCAATCACAGGTATTTTGACCTGAGAAACATCGGATTGCCCTGCTTGTGCTTAAAAACATCGACCTTGATTTAAAATTTCTCTAGTAGATTTTGCAGACAAAGGCAATGAGTACAGTTTCGACGAGGTTCTATGAGAATATCTAAACTTATAAATAATTGACTATTCAATAGTAAAGTACATTAAGTGTGTGTATATCTTGCCAGGCTAGCTTTGAAGTCCCAGAACTTTTCGCTCTGCCGTGGCTTAAGGTTCATGTGTAATTAGATGGATATTGTTTCTCGTCATTCTCTTGTATTTAATTTAATCATTTCATCCTAAGCAAGGCGATAATGTCACTAAGAGAGTGAATGAGAATGAGAAGATCTTAGTGAGGAGAAAGGACAACAAAAGAACAGTATTCAGGAAGACAGAAGATGGTGATTGGCGCTGAATTTACATTTTTGAAAATCGTAGGTGGCAAGGAAGCAAAACTCTGAAGAGAGTTCCACAGGCAAGAAAAGAAAATATTAGAATAGAACTTACGTTCACTTCACGCTAATTCAACTGTAAAAGCGTGAGACTTAGTTGCCGATATAGTAGTACACTTAAATTCATACGGTTGAGCTACCAAGGAGGAGAAAAAAATGCCATGAAAATATTTGTAGAAAAGACAGAGGAAAAACCACGTCACAGCGGTGGGAAAATAACTGATGTCAGATCAGGATCGAAAACATTACAGACCCTTTTTTATTCTTTCAAGAATCTCCAGATATATAGTAGAAGCAACATACCAGATATGTCAGTAATATTTAATGCAGGGTGCAATGGTAGATTTAAACCATTCATCAAAGGAGATTGTTAACCATAACTGCCGACTCATCATTTCATTTCTTGTCTCCTCAGAAAATGTTATAAATTTTTTAAACGACTCAGCAAAATTTATAAATTTATGATTATTTCTGTATTATATAAAGTGATTCTAAAAGAATAGTTTTGAAAATTTGTTAAACCGAAACTAGTCCAGATCTTGTTACTCACAATGGAGTTTTTAGAGGAATATTTGAAGTTTGTTACAGCACCAAACAAATGCTCAGTGCACACTTAGTTACATGCTCATATTGTTCCTCAGATATCGAGGGTTTCCCACGAAGTTTTACCCTTTTTTAATCCCCACCCACTTTTTTTTTTTTTTTTTTAAGTGATTTCTGATTTATAGTCCTAATCAAAAATGAATTATTTGTCGGTGATTTTCCGAAACGGATACTTTTTGGAACAACATGAACATAATTCTTTTTGCTTGATTGATTCCCGCATAAAGTCTTATCAGCAACATCAGAAGATGAATTGTCTTATTGCTTTCTGAAATTTCCTTGATGATGAAATATCTGATACTGCTGAATATCTTATTACATCTTAGGCAAACGCACGATTGATTGGTTGGCTGATTTCGTTTAGCGGCATATCAACCCCAATAGGTTATTTAAAATTGAAATCTAAATATTTTAAACGCAATTTTATGCCTTTAACGACAGATGTTTTGTACATCATTTTATACTTTTAGGGTAAACGTATGTTTTTTTAGATATATAGTCTGTAGATTATAAAATACATTGATGGTATTTAAAAAAAAAAAATTATTGCTGGTAATTTTACTATAAAAATATATTGCTGGTAATTTTACTATAAAAATGTACTGTTGATTTTTGTTTGGGGATTCACTATTTGGCCATACCTGGGATCCTAAATGGTGCCATCACCGCGGGTCAGGGTGGAACTGGAAAGAACAGCAGTTAAGAGATGGTTTCACGCTCCTCAAACCTTTCAATCTCCCGGTCAGATGCCATGCTGCCGAATGTAATTTATCGTCATACACAGAACGGCAAACCTACGACATTTATATGTTGTGGTAATAAGCTCTTTATATAGAGATTGCATTTTATATGTGCATTAATAATTTAATTCTGAGACGAGTTTTAGTTCGTTTATTCTCTCAAAGCCATTTTATCTTATGTTAATAGATATATCTTGCCAGTCAATTATTAGAAACGGGTTACATGCTGAGTGATACTTGTTTGTAGTGCTTTCATTTTGTAAACACGCCGATGATGAAAATACATTTCTGCTCCAATTTCAAAGCCGATACCAGTGTTTAAGATAATTTGAATAGCCTAGCTGTAGGTCTTTTTATCTTTCATTAATCGATAGGCGCATGCTGACCATGAGACCCGGGTTCGAATCTCACCATGGTCGATTTGTCAGGAAGGAGACTTCTTGATCTTTTCAGACTGGAGGGATCGATCTCAGCGTGCGGCACCTTCGGAAAGTACATAAAAACCATACCACGGGTTGACCCAAGCCTTGTGAGTGAAATTGGGTAGCTGTTAGCACAAAATCACAAAACATCATGGCCGTGAGATTGAGCGTGCTGGCCTTGTTCAAATTGTTGAGCACGCTAGATAACACGCCTTTTCCCAGAAACTGTAACTAAGGTCTGCTCAGCCCAATTGCAGTATAAACCACAGGTAGGCTCTGAGGATGTTGAATAAACATAAATGCGCCTGAGCAAGCGTCTGCAATAGGGATTGTCTAACTGCCCTAGTAGACGGGTATCCTCGAATACGAGTAGCTAGCTATACATACATAATCGATTATTGTAGGTGCGGATAATGCAACGGTTATAGGCGCAAAAAATGAAGTCGTTGATACTGTTTCGTTCACTTCGCGCTTATGTCCTTGGGAAAAAAGGCATGAATCCGCAATACTTCAACTATGGATTAAATAGCAGGATAGACTAGGCTCTGAATTAAAAGCCAACCTGAAGAAGGATAGACATAGTCAGGTGATATTACCATAGACACATTTGCTGCAGCTACGATTGCAGCAAATACGGCGGTGCCTCTAAGGCCCTAATGAGGGTACAGACTAGTGATAGGTAACAATGATTGTTGGACATACACTCATTGGCGCGCACATACACACAAACGTGTGCACACACAGGCGTTTAGATATTTGCATACAACAGATACACTCTGGAACGAATACAATTCTATATTAATTCCCAAAAGTTATAGACAATAAAACACTTTAAAATATTATGAGTTCTTATGTAGTAATCTATTTTGAGGAAGCGATAATCCTGTATCTTTTGATTTGAAATCTGAATGTTATTTTCGAGATTTTTTACTGTCATGGAACTCGCCAGAACATGAACTTAAACAAAGCCACCAGGACATGCATAATTTAAACTACCTTCATGTTTAAGATATATTGATAGATATTGCGTTTTTTATATATGGATTAATAATTTATTTTAATATTGAGGTAGGTTTTACTCTACTTATTCTATCATGACCATTTTTATCTAAGGTTAATAGATAAACATGGGGGAGACAATTATTAGAAGCGGGCTATATGCCGTGTATCATGAATGCTCAGTATTTGCATAATACAATTTTTAAACTGTTTATTTCTTTTGTAATAACCTTGTACAATTTACCGATTACAATGAAATAAATGTTGGCGAACAAAATTCTTGATTTTAAATGACTTATATAATGCCATTATCACACAGGCACGAATAAAAGACTCCTGATTTCAACAGAAAATTGTAAGAAAAAATTAGTGGACAATCCATCGAATGTTACTAGAACTTCATCCCCAGTCAAAAGAAGAAAAAACTGTGTATGACAATAAATACGGTTTTTAAATCCGTAATGTTTGCTATTCGTCAGTATTTATTTATATTTATATATTTGTATTTATTCGTCTTTCAAAAAATCTTTTCTCTGCAACAAAGTCGTTTTTTAATGTTTGCTATCGTTGTTGATTTTTCAGTGTAGTTTTTCAAGTAGGAAAATCTATGTTTCTCGGGCTAAATTATTTGTGGTGATTGAGTTAAAAATGAAAATTTTCAAACCTATAAACAGCGGCTTGCTTTCAATAATTTCTAATGAAAATTACTTAGCTTAGTTGTGGGAGTGGGGAAACTGTTACGCCATTATTTCAAATGCAGATGGAATTCCTTACGAGAAAATCAATATTAAAAATGTTGACTTTTATCTGGACTAGAACATTGATCTTTGAAACCGATTTGAAATAATTCAACACTGAGAATAACAACGACAATTTAAGCAGGCATAATTTCGAAGCCCAATAATGAAAAAAAATATTTATTTTAGAAATATTAATTTTTAACATAACCTCTAACTTTGTTAATGTACTTAATTGAATGGTTAATATTAAACACAGGGATCGAACATTATACAGTGAAAATTTGAAGCCCAAAATTCACCTAATAACGAAGTATCTGGCTATAGGCTTATTGATCTATCTTCGTATTCAGCTTTTCTTTGTACATCATAAGACCGAGAAAGTGGAGAACCAAATGTTGGTCGAAGTCAGTATATACGTGAATTGGTTCGTGAGGCGACTTTGTTAACTACTACACTACAGTAGGTGCCCCTTTTCCGCATAGTTCTTAGGCTCTTATTGCGTGGCAGCATTTCATTGAGAAGAGGGATTTTCTTCTCTATGCATTTGACTTGAGAGACTCATTCGCTTCGTAGCTCGTTGCAGTGGATTTGATCCGCAATTGACACTCTAGAACTATTAAGCTATATAACTACATTCAAGCTTAGAACGGATTACGGCTACATCATGTTGAAACACCAGTTCCCGAACGATCACCGAAGTTAAGCAACGTCGATCCTTGTCGGTAATTAGGTGAGTGACCGATTGGGAATACCAGGTGCTGTAAACTTGGATATGCGGTTGGTGTAATGAATAATTGTTAATCGGTGAGCTGAGTTTCAATTCCTGTTGAATTCGTTATATTCACTTACGCGCAAATACCTGTGAGAAAGGTATGAATTCACCTCTTCTCCCCCTAGCTATGGGTTAATTAGAAAGATTGTATCACTAAGCCGTTATTATCTTTAAAAAATTATTACAATCTAAAAGTAATATCTGGCTTTAAATAACCTGCAAGGGTTGATAAGTTGTAAAAAAACGATAAGTTGTCAGAAACGAATCAAGTTTTCTAACTTTATTAATCTTGTATTTGAAATTCGTGATAATTATGCATTATGTCCTGTCTTAATATGGATATTTATTCGGTATAGTAAAGTACTAGGTTACAATAATGGGACAACTAGTGAGGATCAACTCTTGTAACGTAGGGAAGGTTACTGAATAGAATAATCAAACGAAGGTTAGTAATGAACAATAATAGTTAGGACAAGAACAACACATATAAGATTCGCCAGCGGTGCGTAGGAGAAGTAGTCAACTGCGAGAAGTGAGTCAAGTGAATTCCATAATGAATCTCGAACTGCAGGATATCTACCAACCGCCCCAATGGGTCAGATGTGGTTGAGTAGCTGTTTCCCGAAACGAGACTCTGCCCTTCGATATAGCCTCGTCTGAGGATCCTCTTTGCCCGTAGGCAGAGAGTTTGACCAGCACAGCTGAAGACGAATCTCCGACTGCAGACCAACATACAGTATGTACTACTGTATTTATGTGAATGGGGCATACCCAATATCGTCCGTAGGTTTGCTACATCACGAACTCATCTGAGAAACCATCGATTTGAGAAACTATCGATCTGCTGTAGTAATAACCGGCGTTTTTTTCTATGTCCCTTCAGGACGTAGACAATCATGGCTCTCCACAACTTTCTATATTGTATAGCCCTCAAGTTTGTCTTTTCACTATTCCTCCCAGTCTCTGTTCTGCCATCCAACCTACACAAGTATTAAATTAAGTCTTAACTGGCCAATATTTTGATGATCCACCGTAAATGTTTTGAGTATACGATTAACCTATACGTAAATGAGAAGGTGGCACATTTTAGCCCTGGAACTGGCAAGCAAATACGGTTATCGGTCTCTTTAGCTTATGGTTAAAATAACAGGGTAAACTGGGTTCTCTAGCTCTGAGTGGCGGCCAGTGTAGGAGAAGAATTACTTTGAATTCAAATCCCTGGAGAAGGCAATGTCGTGGAGCTTTACAGATTATAATGAAAAGAAGACAGTAAAGGGAAATTGCATTAAAAAAAAGCAAATCATGCGCTACGGCAGACATATTCATATCAATTGATGCAGTTTTACTTCAATGTCTTTTTAAAATTATTTAAAAAATGAGTGAAATAATAGAATAAAATATATAAGTAAATAAGATTTCATGAAGAGCGAAAAGACATTATAAATAACTTTTTCTATCAAGAACTGTTGTTAGTGTAAATATAAACGATTGAATGGACAGTCCCCAAGAAATGCTAAATAAATGAGATTTTGCGTCAAAGTTTAAGACATATATTAACTTAAGACATACCTGCTTACCAACATTATCATGTCTTCTAGTCAATAGCTGATCTAATTAAAGTAATAATATTTCTTTGTAATTAATCTTATAAGCTGTTTATTTTTGTTCAGTCGATGTTAAGTTTCTGTTTTTTCGTCTTTGTAAGAATATTTTCTATACAAATTATAGAAACTAGATTCGTATAAAAATAATTCAGTTGATGCTTTTCGAAAAAATCCTTGAGATGATGGGTGTTCGGTGTCAAAGAAAACGAAAATATTTCATTTTCGAGTCGGACATTTAGATTTTCATTTTTAAAAATTTCATTGCTGGTTCATAAACCGAGAAGCGAAGGTTATGAATCTCGTCTGTGATTTTCCCCTATGTATTGTAGTTAATGCATCAACAATAGTCTTTGTTCTTTTAAAGCAAGACTTCATCAAAAGATGATCACAGAATAAATCGATTAAGACATTGTAATGAAAAAAACAAAAACAAAAAACAAAAAAAAACAACAACAAAAAAACACACACACAAAACTGTGACGATTATAATAGCTTTAAATGAAATAATTGATATTTTATTCAGAGAAAATACTAAGGTGACATATTTTGTAAATAAATGAATCAAAACAACAACAGTAGTGAATAAAAGAATAAAAACAAATTGCAAGCATCCTTCTACTTGACTGAAGTAATTGAATAGAAAATTGATGTTTTCACAAAACAAGAACAAAAAAATAGAAAAAAAAACAAATGTCAACTCTTGCTGCTTGTAAGAAATCGATGCCATGGTGTCAATAATGGTACTTCCGTTGTTCGATGACTATTTTGCAGAGTGCGTTGACTAATGGGTTCAGCCTTCATAATCAAATGTATATATTTGAAAGAAAGCGCACGGTGAAATATCTTCGAAAAGACATTTTTTTGTGTGGTACAATTTAAAATCAATAATTTTAAAGCAAAAATATAATTCTCCTCACTTTCTGCAAAGTTGACTGTTGTCCACCTTGCAAAAAATCATAAAAAGTATAGAAAACAATATTTAAGCAACGAGGCTTTATGAAAAGCAATAAAAACTACCGCAGGTAATTTTAAAGTCGAGGGAGTAAAAAAGGTTAAGAACATTAATGGGGTATTGTATTAATCGATTATATGTCTCTATGGTCTGTATCTTTTAGATCTATTTATTAAAAATATCAAACTCTTTTGCATTCTATTTGCGTAATAAAACCTGTCGCGCTCAAGGCAAGTTATTTTCAATATCATAAATAAGTATATATTATAATGTATATACTGAAACTTACACAGTAGACTGCCCATATAATTATATGTACAATCAAACAAGTACAGAAGTTTAAATATCTAGGAAATGTTTCAACAGGTAGCGAAAAAGGTGACATCGAAATCTGAAGGTGCATTGAAATAGCAAAAGTTGCATTCTAGAAATTAAACAAATTAGTAAGAGAAAATTTCATTAGAAACAAAGAGTGCTGAACTGCTACTCGATACCAATCCATCAATATGACAGTGAATATTTGACAGTTTCCTTACCGATGAAGGGGAGACCAGGCAAAAGATATGTAGATTTACAGAAGGATGCTGACAATACCATGGACAGGCCACTTAACCAATGAGGAAGTTTTAAGGAAAAATGGAAAAAAGACTGAAATTTCTTGGACACATAATGAGGAAACACGATTTGGTAAACTTGACACTCACAGGACATATGGAAAGTGGGAAGAACAGCGAGCTTATGTGAATGGAGTCGGAGGGATGGTAAGAAATCAAAAATTACTAATCGCCACAAAATATAGGAAGTTGTGGAGAGGCATGATCGGTCACATCCTGAAGAGACAGGGTACGTAAAAAAAAAAGATAGCCTGAGAAATTTACTAACATCTGTTGATTAATTTTATTGTGAAAAAACATTGAATTGCATAATAAAGTCTGACACGGTATATATTGAAAAATGAATATTTATGGTGGAAAGTAAATGCCCTTATCATCAGTAAACTGCGGAATTACCATATATATATATATATATATATATATATATATATATATATATATATATATATATGCGTACCAAATTTAGACCTCTACCTCATGAAGTGTAGCGTGCCCTCGACGGTTACACGATATATCATAGGTGCTGGAATTGTTGTGTGGGTATATCTATACATTAACCTTACGTTAAACCTCAACCTTGTGTCAAATTCTGAAGCGACGTGGGTGCGCTGAAAAATTCACTATATGTGCAAATTTCCTAACTATCCATATGCAGAAAATTCTGTGGGATCCGCAACATGTCCTATACAACTAGAGGGAGCGTTTGACAATGGAGTACTTGGAAGTCCGCTGAGTGTTTCTGATTTCGTTTCATCTACTCGTGATGACGGTCGCTGTGTTATACTGTTTGAAAACCCATCAGTAGTAGAAAACATGGCGAACATAAAGTAAATGGTTTACAACAAAATCAGTACATACTGTTCAAGACAGTTTCTATTTTCTCTAATGTTTATTGCCGACACCAATACAACGCATCTTACATAATTACAGAGCCAACATCAGTTTGCAAAAGACTCTGTTGACAAACTGGTTCCATAGTCTTTTATGGTTTGCACCGCCCTCTACCTATGAATTCGATCTTCTCCGAAGCATGCTTACTCTGAGTAGGCAAGATGGCGATAAGCTTTCGTCCATGTAAGCTGCAGTAATCGATGCCATGGTGTCAATAATAGTACTCCCGTTGTTCGATAACTATTTTGCAGAGTGCGTTGACTAATGGGTTCAGCCTTCATAATCATTGATGTGCACCATCCCTCCAGGATGTGGGTGAGCATGGGTTTCACAAGTTTCTGCCCCTACCCCCCTGTAGCGCTAACCAACACCGGTTCTCGAAGTTAAACAACGTTGAGCCTATTCACTACCTAGAGGACCACATGTGAATACCAGCTGCTGTAAGCATGGACGTGTGAGTGGTGTAATGGATAACATTTGAGAATGACGAATTAGAAAGCTGAGTTCGAATTCCAGTCGAGTTTGTTACATTAACTTACACTTGGGAAAGGTATAAGTCCATCACTCCCCCAGCTATAGCTAAATAGCAGGGCAGACTAGGCCCTATAACCTTGATTGACAACCAGTCAAGGAAAAAGAAAGGAAAACCTGACTGCTGGAGATCTCCAGCAGCCAGGTTTGCGGAAGATTGATCGTAATTTAGATAAAAAAGGTGATTTGATTTAACGGACTTAGAATGTCTATACTTTTCAACAAAACAAGTTTAAAAGAACAAAAGAGCAAGTGCTTCCTAAATATATATATATATATATATATATATATATATATATATATATATATATTCTGATATCTATTAACGTTCTCCCTTCGATACTGACATTTAAAAAATATTTTACGTGATAAATTGTGATCAAGATATAAAGATTTTTTA